TTTAATTACATATTTATCAAACCCTTTGAGACCTCTACAAATGCAAAAGGGATCTTTGTAACATATTTTGTGAAATATAGCAGCCTTGTTAACTAGTAAATCTTAGGGAAGAAAGTCTTTAGTTATCTTCATGACATAGTAGGCACAATAACTGTATCTTGGAGCTGGCATGTTGATCAGACAGGAATTTACCAGCAACCTTGTGCACCTGTAAATCTGGGGGATCACCTCCGTGCTGCATGACACATTCAACAGCAACTACAGTGAGGAAGGAGGAAAAATATAATATCTCATAAAGATGTTAAAAAGGAGCACAGGTTTCTTAGACTATTTATTCCACTTTCTGATACCGTAAGGTCATTCATTATATTTTGTTTGTAACTGAAAGTAAAAATGACAGATGTGTAGTATTTTAAAGTTTTCAGTCCTTTCATTTAGACTGTTATACAAGAAATAGGTCATTAACAAATGTTCTGTCTAGACACAATAGAGTATGAACCGCCAATTACCAAGAGGCTGCCATTCAATATTCAACTTTTTGTCCTAAGCTTTGAAAAACAAATTACTGTCATCGTCTAGAGTAATATTTTCTTCTGGCATCTGTTGTAATTAGTCTGTAGCTGTTGTATTATGATGTATTGTACCCTTTTTTATTTCAATTTTTTGTTTTAAAATTGGAGTGCAGTTGTGAATTTGTATTAAATGTTTGTAGTTTTTTTATGTAGGAAACACAAATGGAGTGTCTTATAAAGCAGTAAGCAGTAGCTTTTATGATGTGGTCGAACGTTTTTGTTTTTGCCTGGGTCTCAGAGTGAACAAGAGCATGTGCCAGGAACTTTTATGTGGTAAATATTCTCCATGATTGCTTCGGCACTTTATAATTATCCCTCCCTCATCTCCCTCTTTGTCTGTCTCTTAGTCACTGTTATTCGTGTGTGTCGGTCTGCATGTGTACATCGGTACATGTGCTTGCTTGAATGGTTATGTAATTGGAAATGTAATTTGAAAGTGAAAATTATTGTGTCTACACAAGCAGCTCAGTGTGGTGAGTTGGTTCTTCCATGTGAGTAACTTTAGCTAGTTGTGCACAACTTTAAACACTGGACATTGAACTGCAGCACTTAGTCAGCCTCATAAGGCTGTTTTCCAGCTACCATCTCAGACCAAACTGTCTTTTTAACTGGTGGAAGTCTAATTTATGTTTGCATGCTCATATTTGTGAATTAACTTAAGCTTTAAATGTTATGCTGACTAATCACAGTAGCCAAACAAAAAGTTTTGTTATTCATAGCAAACTGCCACTTAAGGTTGTTAAGAACGTGGAAAGTATTATGGAAGCTTTAAATTCTAGGTAAACTGCAGTAAGTATGCTATGTAGGTTCTATTTAACATTCCCAGGTTTCTAAGGTGGTTGGAACACTAGCCCTTCCAAAAGCACAATGGTTACATTTATTTTCTACTGTTTACCCATTGTTACATTGACAGCAAGTTGTGCAAAAATGATCCTGATGGTAAGAGAAACCTTATTTTTCACAGGTGCACTACTTTAGATCATCTTGTTTATGGAACTTGCACATCTCAAGTTATAACTTTTTATCTTTAGTCTGGTCGAACAAAGCTCATTTGTTCTGATTCACCGGAATCAGCACCCTCAATTATAATGAACAGTGGCGGTGAAAATTAATCCTTTAAGCCCTTTTGGCATAAACACTTTGCCAGCCAAACCAGTGGCACATTGCTGCCAAGTCAAGACACAACTTGGAGAATAGGGAAGTTCCCATAGACGGTGCAGTTGTTGACTGTTCTGTATATTACAGAACCTCTTCTGCTCAGACAAAGCAAGCATTTTGGATCAGCTAACCCTTAAGGTGTTGTGTAAGTCAACATTCTGCAGCCCATTAGCAAACACAAAGACATGGCGGTACGCTGTTGTGTTAAGGAGCCCTTCAGTGCTAATGGAGTAATGGCAGCACTGTGTGTTGATGTAGTAATGTAAAAGATAAGGTGTTTGCTGCTGAGCAAATAAACAGCTGCACAGGAGAGAGATTAAGAAGGAGGGAGGAGGTGAATGACAGGGGGAGGCAGTCACTGCCAACCTGAAACACCAACAGGCAATCCAGCCACAACAAGCAGGCCGGATGTGATTTTGTTAATGACTGAAATCCCCTAAATTAAACACTTTTTATGAGTCGTTCGGAGCAAAAAAGACAATCTGGTAGGACTCTTAGACAGTTGCTGCACTGCTGTGAGCATACATCTGAGAAAGGCTGAATACCATAATATTTTACTGCCATTCTCTCACAACTGCTTGCATACGTGTGTGGATACAATTGCAACGAGGTGACAGCATTTTAGTAGTTTTACACTTTTCATTAAAAAAAAAACACTTAAAGAGCACAACAGTATAATGTTGTTATCATGTAAAGTAGGCTATACATTTTATTATTTATGTGTGTGCATGTGTGCTTGTGCATTTAAAGTGCACGCATATGTGGTGCAGCAAAGTGTCTCCAGTGCTCCATATATTTCAACCATGACAGAAGCTTTGTCCCCCAGCTGAGGATGGAGATGAACTTCCTAGTCCTTCCATTCTCTTTGCAGCCTCTTTGACTCTCTGTCCTTCTGTTTGCCTTTGTCAGAACAGCTCATTTGTTGTCTGTGGGGTTGCTCTGCCTTTTCATAAGGTCAGTGGGTGTGGGGCTGGGGGCTACAGGTAGCGGAAAGGACGAGATTGACCACTTCATCTTGTACTTGCAGAGAGAGGGCAATAGACCAACAGATTGTGTGGGACAATGATTCAGAAAGAAGGAAGAGGAAATTCAGGGGGAATATGAAATGAGACAAGTGAATAAATAAATGAAAATAGTAAATGTAATAAATACGATGTACGAATAAGGGGAACTAAGTATTATCAGAAGTATCTTAGTTGTGATCTACAATCTGGTCACCGAATAGAAAGAGAAAGGGGAAATGTGGAAAGAAAGAGGTGGTCAAGTTTACTTTTCAGATTTAAGTAATTAAAGGAAGGTCTGCTTGTCGTTAGTTCTCACATAGTGGGTGTATGACCTGCTTTTGAGCATCCTGCTTGTTGTGTGACATGTCATGAATATCAATGTTAAATTGCTCAAATCAAAGGGCAGTCAGTCAAGACGTAGCACAATATTTTGCGTTCCCATTTATAGTTTTGGTTTTGTCAAAACTAAAATAATCTAACTTGCACTACTTTTGCTGTAGTTTGTCTGTACTCATCAAGGTATTTTATTTACTGTAAACTGATGTACACTTAATCTTTATGTTTTGTTCATATACTATTTTTTTTATAAACCACACTTTCGTAGCTATTTATGACATAAAACCAATTACTTGCAAGCTCTGAATGACCAATGTCATACCAAGCCCAGGTGGTCACAGATGAGACAAGAGTTGAGGTTACTCCTGCAGATGTTGCTTTGACTTATTACCCTCAAAATGTTTGAGCTGCATGTCTCATCATCATGCCATCATGGATGTTTTATCAGAATGCATCTGTACACATTTGTTGTTACTGTTACAACACATGTATTACAGTGATAAAATGCACAGCTGCATGTGCGGGTTTCATCATATGCTGTTTGAAGTTTGTGCATCTTTTATTTTGTGCTGGTACACTTCAAAGAGTGAGTGTTTTGTACAAGTGTGCGTGTCCTTGAATATGAGTGAGTCAGTGGCCAGATGGAATGCACAGGACCTACCTGTGGGTGTAGTTGGCTTAAATCCATTTTCTTAAATCTGTTTCCTATTCAATGTCACATAAATAAATGCCAGCAGAGTACATTCACTTCCAAACCATTTAATAACGTCCTTAGATCTCCGTACATCTGTTCACCTGCAGGTTTTTCTGTTCACCTGCAGTTCTGTTTTAGTTAGCATTTTATGTGAACTGGTTTTAATTATTCACTGCTGGAAAGTCAAGTGCATTTTCAGGAGCAAACATTTATCCCACGATCACACGATTTTGATCAAATCTGTGTAGTTTTGTAGACTGTGTGCTCTCAGATGCAGACATATTGGCTCAAAAACACAGAATCAGTTGCACACACACTAAAACACAACTGAGTGCGAGCTCAGACTTGTCCTGGATTTACTCAGTAGTTCTTGTACATCTTTGATATGCTTGATCCTCTTTTATTGTTTTTTTTTTTTTTCTGTGTTTCTTTATAAGTGGTGTGCAACTGATTAGACAGAGTAATGCACCCTGAAGGAGAGAGACAGGCAGCAAGGAGAGAGGATAGGATATGTCTCGTGTTCTAACACATTCCAGTAGTGGAACTCTAATCCTTTGAGGCTTTATGCATTTAAACAGCTCGATTAGCAACAGTCTAACTGGCGCTTTCTCTGCCCAGCTGAAGCAGAAATTAGGTACTTAGATACAGCTGTCATTTTGTTTGTTTTTGCAGTGCCTTTAAAGGAAGATGCCCTTAGAGGTACAAGCTTTGATCACCGACTGAAACAAGCCATTCATAAGTAAACTCATGAACCGTACAAATATGTTGTAAACATGGAGATAATAGCGGAAAACTTTTATTGCCTGTGATAGAACTCTATTGGGTTTTTCCATTTAGCAATTTCAGGAAAAGTTGTTCGGAGAATTGTAAACAAATACATTTTTAGAGCCTGCTTATGAACTCAACCAAAATGTTCTTATGTCTGTGCACGGGCTATATTATGGTTTTTACATCGGGAAAGTGTGAATTTAGTAGTATTTAGATGATAATGTAAAAATTGTGCTTTTCTTGGGGTTTGGATGTAGTCTTTCTGTAGCTCCCTTTAGTTTACGCAACCTGCAGTTCAAGTTGTCTTTTTGATGACACATCCCTCATATAAGTATAAGAGGAAGTTTTTGTATTTAATCACAGTTATATCAGAAAACTTCAGATGAACAACAATCATGAGTTTTTAATTGTGTCAATCCTCTCCTCTTCCCTACCTTCTCTTCTTTCTTGCCTCTATTTCTTTTCCAGTGACATTTTTGATGCAATGTTTCCAGTCACCCATATTGCAGGAGAAACAGTTATCCAGCAAGGTTAGTATAAATAAATATTGTTAAAATAATTTTTGTGCACTGAATGTTAACCTTGTTAAAACATATTAAAGGATTGTGTTTTGATCATGTGACATTTTGACCTGATATATTACTAATATAATGTAAATGACCAATACTGATCGTGTTTTTTCTGCTAAATAAGACAAGTAATGACATGATCTGGGTTTTGGATTAGCACACAACACCAAACAACAGGAATGATTTAAAGTGTTTATTGATAAACAACTTCTGGTGGGGGTCCAGGTCCAAAGGTGGGTCTGATCTGTAGAGACAGGAGTCAGTGATCTGGGTTTTACGGTGAAGGTTCAGCGGGTTTTTAAGGTAGTCACTAACCTTCACAGTCTGTAGAGAGAAGAACTCCTTTGGTGAGTAGGGGATGATGATTTCACTCACTGTGAGTGAGCAGCAGCAGAGAAGCAGGTTGATGTAGAATGTAGTTCTAGGGAGAGTCCAAGGATGAGGTCCAGTAGGGAGAGCAGAGGTCATGCACAGTTGGTCAGAGAGTAGAATCCAAAGCCAAATCTTGATCCGGGGGGCGTAGTCGAGGAAATGGGAAGCAGAGTCGGTACCGTGGTCAGAAGGCATAATCCAAAACAAGTAAGGGGCAGGCAAGGCGAAGAATCCAAGAACAGGCGTGGGGTCGAGACAAGGCAAGAGAACAAGGCTGTGAAGAGATCGCTGGACATCTACTATCTAAAATAATTTGATAATCTGGCACTGGTGGAGTGTGAGCATGAAGCTTATAAAGGCAGGTGAGCAGGTGAAACTGATGAGTGCTGATTGCTATAACAAACAAGGGAGGTGTGGCTTAACTTGGAAGGAGCAGGATTAAACTGAAGATGGGTGATAAGCAAAACTGCACATGGAAACAGAAAACTAAATCAGGAAGGGGCAGAAACGTGACAGGTAAGGACTAATTTCATTTACCCTTTATTTATACAGGTAGTCTCATTGAGCCACGAGAACTCATTTTCAAGAGAGACCTGTTTAGGGAGCAGATGGTGGTTAAGGACCTTGCTCAGAGGCCCAGAGTGGGGCAAATGAGGGTGGGGCAGGTGTGGGTGCTTCACCTACCCCACCCACAGTTTTGATGTTGTCGGTACCGGGGCTTGAACTTGCGATCTTCTGATCACATTAAAGGGTTATACTGAAGATTATTCTCTAAGGGAGAAATTTTGCCTGCTCTTTAATATGGTTGACCTAGTCTTAGAATAAACTTGAACTACTAAACCACTTTAACATGCAGTCAATTAATTTTTGCTGATTATCCACATTAGTTTTATTTCAGAGTTCATTTTTTGCACTGACATCACTGATCATGTTTATTTTATTCTACCACTTCCTTTCCTTCTCATTCCCCCAGCTTGTACCAGTTGTCAGGTTCCTCTCATTTGCCTAACAGGCGTCAAAGCCTTCACTCTAGTTATCCCTGGACTTTGAAGAAAACCAGATCAACTGGACCAGCCTATATTTTTCTAATTCCCTCCCCCTCTCTGAAACTCCTATCAAATGCAGACGCATTTAATCGCATATTTGAAAACAGGCATTCTTGCAAATTTCCACTTTCAGATAGTACCGTGTTAGCACAAAATCACATAGTTTTACAACTGTGGAGTGCACTGAACAAACACGCACAGGCAGACACAATGTGAAAGAAAACTGTCAATGCTACTCACTCATTCACTCACACCGACCCTTAAAACCGTGTCCAGGAGTATATCAGTCCTAATTTGGTGATAAGTCTACCTTTTTTGCAGGGCCCCCAGATCCAGACAGGCTATTGTTATATACACTAGTGTGGTATATACAGCACTGATGTCATAGCTAATGTTTGGACTACTGTACAGCTTCAAGAAACCTGCTACTGACTACTTACATACTATTTAGACGTTGCAAAGAGTTATCACTGTAAAAAGTTAGTGGTATTTAAACAGTGAGGAAGTTTACATAATTTTACATGCAAAATAGAGTAAATTTGATTATTTTCTACATGTAATTACATCAACTTATTGAGCTCTACTGTCAATTTTACAGACAACATTACTCCTGCAGAATTGGAGGTTGAAAATATAGCCCATGTTGTTCTTCAGAGCAAAGCCACAGAACTTTAGCGGTGTGTGTGACAATTAGCTTGTGTTGAAACAAGACCACACTGAGTTACCAACCTACATGAGTATGTGCGTGTGTCTTTGTGTGTGTGTGTGCGTGTGTCTTCGTGTGTGTGTGTGTGTGTGTGTGTATGTGTGCATGTAGGTTTTGGTTAAATATTTGCTTGCACTCTAAAGCTAAAGACGCAAAACAAAAGCGTAGGCACCAAAGTGATAAAAGACAGGAAGAGCACCAGAAAAGACAGACAGTCAGAGGAAACTGAAAGAGCGATACATGAGATGAAAGAGAGAGCGAGAAGAAAAATTAGTAAAAGGCCAGGTTGCAGCAGGTTGGGAGTATGTGTGTGGACTTCTAAGGTCTTTCCTGGGACAGACCTTTAGATAGACAAGGGGTGTTTTGTGTGACAAATAGAGCTGCATGATTAACGAGCCCTCCACTCAGTATTAATTAGGCGTGTGAACTCCTGTGAACTTTACTCACAGGGTACTCAGAGCCTTTCAGCTCAATGGGTGAATGTACAAACAACAAAAATGCACACAAAGGCATCCTAACTCAAAACCTACAAGATGCTTTGACATTTGTCTTTTAGATAACCCACTTGTTCCTCTAAATGCAGTTAAATTCATGTTTCATTGTAGGAAGTGCGGTAGCTGCACGGAGAACTTTTTAGTGCTCATGCGAGGTTGTCAATTCTTTTCAGTGCTTTCCTCTGAACTCTATGTAATGGATAGCATAATTAAAGACACCCACACCATTTTTTAGCCTTATCTTCGGAGTACCGGTAGATGCTTTTAAAGGATATCAGCCAGCCATGAATCTCTTTGAGGTTTTACTTTGAAAGCTCAGCACATGTGTGACAGTGCTGATTTAGTAAGCAGATTATCCACGAGTTCTAAACCTTGTAAATAACACATAGTTTTAAATATTGTGGAAAAAAACACTAAACAAATCACCTGTAATTAAGCACTGTTAAAGATTATTCTGTTATACTGAGATGTTGTGTCTCTGCACATACAGGCATTTCTATGTCAAGAGTTTCACTATCCAACCAAATTTCAAAGCTAAATGTTTGGAGCATTTTGCTTCTTGAGTTCATAATTTAAAGATAGAATTTACAATACAGTGGTTTGCCTTTACTTTTGGTGTTTTATCTTGTAACTTCAAAGTTGAATTTTACTCTACGGAGGTGCAAGTTAATTCAGCCAAAGCTTTCTTCCATATATTTTTATTTATTTATTCCTATCTAGTTCTAATTTCAGTTTAATCATAAATAATTTACTAAAAACTTCAGCTCATAGTGTTGTTTTTTTTTTACATTATTATTAACCTACCCCAATATAAATGGGAAAAGCTAGATTTCCAATGAGTTTAAACGTTTTTTTGCTTTCTTTACTGCACATTTCTTATCTTCTCTCCTATCCAGGTGATGAAGGAGACAACTTCTATGTGATTGACCAAGGTGAAGTGGATGTAAGTGGCTACCACTCAAAAGCACATGCACAAAACGTTTTCTCGTTTCTTAATGCTTTAAACAAATACATTTAAAATAATCAGGTAAAATAGGCCAAACTTTTAGGGTTTCACAAGCTCTTATTAACCCTACAGAATGAATGCTTATTTCTAAATTCAGCTTGCCAGAATATGCTATTATTCACCTGTTTAAAGGAAAGTTTATAAGAAGCTTATAAGAAAAATAGTGACTCGATCAAAAGCCCTTCCTCATCCAGTCATGTTGAGACAATATCATCTCTTACAAATAAGACTGGTTGAAGAGCTGCCCCCATGTTTTGGTCTCTTCAAAATCTGGTTCCAGTCCGATGACAATCTGAACATGGCGCTTTAGAGGTGAGCGCCATATGAAGGCACCCAAACTGAGAAGACCTATTGTCTTAACAAGCCTGACACCAAGTGATAGACTTAAGTGGAGAGATAAAATGGGAGCTGATGGAAAGTTAAACAGGAAGTGACCTTATCAGCTTGCATTTGTGAGCACAGAAGCCGTGGGTGAGAGGAGAGAACTAGATTGGTAAGCTTTGCTAAGATTGCCAATAGCATTGCCCTATTCCAAACTGAAAGATGAAAACAGATAATGAGATGGTGCCTTGATAGGAAAACTGCTGAACTTGGAATTTTGATGCTTTCACTCATACTCGTGGGCGGCTGTGGCTGAGTGGTTAGAGCAGTCGTCCTTCAATGAGAGTGTTGGGGGTTTGATTCCACCAGCAGTCACATGCTGAAGTGTCCCTGGGCAAGACACTGAACCCCTCATTGCCTCCAATGTGTGTTCCATCAGTGTATGAATGTGATCTAAAGCACAGATTATTCTTTATACAGATGTAGTAGAGTGCTGTATGAATGGGTAAATGAAGCCACAGATAGTGTTGTAAAGCGCTTTGAATATCTTGATAAGATGCACAGTCCATTTAATAATAATAATTTATTCAATTTGTACTGCACTTTACATTTTACAATCTTTGAATTATCATTTACCATTTTGTTTCAGATGGTGTCTTGTTGATGTGAATAGATAATGATCAGAACTATAACTAGAGTTGTGTAAAAAAGAAATAGGCCAAGATTTTCCACAAAAAAGATTTAGTTGTTGCTTCTTAGCCTGTCGTTTATTTAAACGAACGATAAGACATTGAGTAACTAGAAACTCCATTACTGATTATCTCACTTAACATGAACTATTTCAGCCCTATAAATTATCTCCTTTAAGATCGACAAAAACCCAGTTAAACAAATCCAAACCTGATTTAATGTGTTTACTGTTTTCTTTTTTTTACTTTCTTAACCACATCTTACAGTCTGTTTTGTTTATTTAATTATTTTGCTTGCAGTTGCAACATATTAGAAGCTTAATTACAGCTCAATTATGCTCTGGTTTTTAGCGCTGTTCAGACTCAACTTTCTATTAGAACAACAGCTGCAGTGGTATGCTCTCACAGCTGCAGCTTTACTTTACCCTAATTATTCCTCCAATGTGTTAAATCAGATGCGATCTGCTCGGAGCTGCCACTAGTGAATGCTTTCCCACAATTTTTTTTTATTCTTCTTACACTGATCCCTACTTGTGGGAAGACTATCCTCAAGCTCAAAAGTTGCCAAACCTCATGCTCTTCTATGTCTCCGTGTCACCCTGCCATCCATTCTACTGTCACTCTACCATTTACAGACAGCAGCTGCCTTCCAGCCACAACCCAGGCACTAAACTACTTCAAGATCAGTGCAGAGGTTATTAAAGTGTGGAGATGTCTCTCATTAAACAGGGGTGTAAATCTGCCAGCATCCCATAAACTGCCTGAAAGCTGCTACTAACGTAAACACCCCTCCATGTCAGCACATACATCTATTCACTCAAAGACAGTTTTTAGATGAGCGAACATCATAGGAAGGTAAATCTTACAGTCCAGAATCTACAGTGAGTTTATGGAGAATATATACTTTTTGTATTATGTATAGTTCAATCATTTTTATTGTATTATAGGAACACAATTTATAGGGTAGTTTACGTGAACCCTTTTATTCTAACAATTAATTATTTTATAATAGTAGGCTTATAGTTTGTATTGTTTGGAGTGGGTAAGACATTTAGAATTTACACACACTCGATCGCCCACATTTAAACAGCCCACAGGCATGCCTGGAGAAACAAACCAAGTAACCACAAGCACAAATATACTGTCTCCTCATCTCCATTCTGTTGCATTTGAATCACTGCTTCTTAACTCCTACCAGCCACACACACAACTTGCTGTTCGTTTTTATGTACCAAAAATTCAGTGACAGCTGCAAAACATCGTACAAGTTGCTTAATACTTAATCTATTTCAGTCTTTCTTTATAGAGTCATCAGTCTGAGTCCTTAATTGAAGTGGTACTACTAAATGACAGTTTAAGGATAAAAAAGACCATTTAAAAAGCTGAGTGAAAGTGTTTGTGAAACCTTATAGGTTTGCAATACAGCAGTGAAAACTAAAAGACAATCTGAAAACTGGAGAAAACTACAGAAAGAACACTACCACCTGCATGATCTGATGTTACACTTTTATAACATATGAATAACTATTCTTCTGATGTAACCAGAGTCAGCACTCTGCATCTCTTTGAAGCCGTTCCAGTATGTAGCGAAGGATGAGTCCCCTGTGATTTGCTCAGAATCTGAATAATGCCCTTCAACAGCTTGGATAATATACAACAGCAAGAAGAGGAATAAACTTTTCTTCCCTCCTTCTGTCCCCCTCCCTCATTGCTTTCTGTGTTATTAAGTTAACAAGATAGTGGATAGTGTGTTGACAGTTAAAACCATAATGGCCCCAAGACAGGCGCAGTGTGCCACACTGAGGTTGTATTATCCATATAAGCTGCAGTGGTTGGCCTAAATGGAGCTGAAGAGAGTGTGTGTATCTATGTGATCAAATGTGTGTTTGTGTGCGTGTTTGAAGAATAGACCCACAAAGTCTTCAACAGCTTACTAACATCTATCACTTCCAAGAGAAGACTCAAAAAACAAGGCAAAAGAAATAAAAGGGATTGATGGAGAGTTGAGTTAAGGTGGGATATTAGGCCTTTTAGAGGATTTCATTTGAAGGCTTAAAGCAGATGAAATACTTAGGGAGCAGCCTTGTGAACAAATCAAACAGCCCAGAAACTGAGAAGGGTTGCTGGAGGGAAAACGAGGGTCCACCCAGCAATCACTGGTATTGTTTTTAAGCTTTTAAGCTCACATAAGACCCTGTCCATTACTCTTTTTTTGATGTTATCTCTACAGGTGTATGTGAATGGTGAATGGGTGACCAATATTGGCGAAGGAGGTAGTTTTGGAGAGCTGGCCTTGATCTACGGGACTCCAAGGGCTGCCACTGTCAAGGCCAAGACTGATCTGAAACTGTGGGGCATCGACCGAGACAGTTACCGGCGCATTCTCATGGTAAGAATGACCTCACATTAGAAATCACAGTATCGGTACACTTTGTGTTAACAGAAAACACTGTGTTATGTACATGCAGCCTTGACTTATACTTCAGCCCGATTGGACACTGTCATGGTTTTATTTCTGTTGTGAGTGAAAACAATATGAAAAAGTATGATTTTCCTAAATCTCCAAAAAAGACAAATCAAAACAAATTCATATTATTATAGGCACCTTTTTGTTTGAAGATTATCATCGTACACTTCATTGATATTCATTTAGATTTACTGCATATAAACACTGAACTGCATTCCCTTAAAAAGTTTATAGGAAGATCACAATGCTGTTCCATATACAGATTTTCTAGTATACAAAATTTTGCATTTAGCAAACTGAAATTAAAATATACATATTAAAAGCTGTTCTAAAACTATTTTTAAATATAATATGTTATGTTGTATTTGTACAAAAAACTGAGTTGACTTAATTCTAAAAATTGAGCATTTTTATCATTAGGCATGTAAGCAAAACTGTTACGTGTCTGTCAGTAAAATATGCAAAGCATTTAAACTGAACTTCTGTTTTCCTTTGCATTCTGTCCTAATAATTTTCTCCTTAAAGCAAAAAATTCCTACTTTGATTTTACGTTTCAACTGTTCATTAATTCCAAATAAACAATGCTAAAATTGTTTGATTCTTAAAAGGTGGAACGTGATTATGAAACAAGTATGATGTATGTCCACTTTAAACACGTACTGTGGTATATTCTATATTCATCCTTTATGCTCTTTTACTTGCAATATCTTCTCCCACTCAGCTACTTAAAACTCCTACAACTCCTAAACACTTGCTTTCATTTTTAAGATAAAATATTCACATTTTCATGCACACACAAATACTTAACTCTGTCCTCCCATTTTACTATCTCCCCTGGTCTCTTCCTGGATGAAGAAAGGGGAAGAGTAAATCTGAATGGGACTGTGTGAGGGCTAGAGGAGGGAATGGGTTTGTTCTAATGGCTGTACATGCACTTCCCGCTCCAGGAGCTTATCTAGTAGGAATGTCTAAATGTTTAAAGTGGAAACACAAGGTGCTCTGGCCTGGCTGTCATACTTACTCACATGCACACACATATTTTGGGTGCTGTTAGGATGACTAATTTTTCAACATGTCTTGGGTGTATCTGTTTGAAACTTTCCTCAAATGTTCATTACACATTTTTTAAATGAGCTAGTCAAACTCCAATTAACCTTTGCAATTCCTGTGTGTATCTAAACTTTGCCCTTACCAGCAGTGAAACTGCTTTTGATTTGATTTGAGTCTTGTTTTGGATCATCCAGTTCAGTGTAATGTTGGCAGCAGTCAGCCCAGGACTCCTGTCACCTTTTAGGTGCATAATTATACTTACAGCTCAGTCTGCCCTGGAAACCATTCTGTGAGAGGATTCTCTCTCTGCAGCTCTCATTCCTTCAATCTTTCCAACAGCAGCAGGAGGTTAGGAGGGGTGAAACTAAATTCAATTACACAAACCTGTAGTTAATTACTGCTGTCAATGATTTGTAAAGCAGTCTTTACAAAGTGTGGTATTCTGGCACCATCATCAGCCAACACAATGATCGTTTTCTCTTTGTGTAAATATATCTGGCGTTTCCCAGTAAAAATATGCTGATTCTCTGTTTTAGCAGGTAGTTTTTCTAAAAGCTTGAAAATGCATTGCCATGATATTTTACCATTTCCACATGCTGCTTTGTCCTCCGCCTCTAAATGATAAATTAAGTGCAGTTATCCCTTGCTCTCTCGCATACACATACTCTCGTATGTGTATTTGTTTGTCTGTCTGCTACCAAAATATCCCATAAACCACTGGATGAATTTTTATGAAACTTACAGAAAGCATTCTTTAGATGTGCATATACTCCTTTTTAACTTTTGAAGTCAACATGGTTCAAGATGGCTGTGATAACCAACTGATTTTCAAAACAGAAATGGTTATAATTCAGTCAGCTCTACAGATATTGACCTAAAGTTTGGTGTGGTGAGAGCTGAGAGTCAATCAGAACACGTACTCTGATAATCTTGCAATATCACATGAGACTGTACACAATGTTTTTAGGCTTTGATTACAACTCCATTTCTCCACATAAGATGATCTTTTTTTTTAACCCTGACAGTAAAGTTGGTGGATGTTATGCATTCCTATAAGAATGTAAGTAGTTAGTTAAGTAAGTAGTAGTAGTTAAGTAGTTTTATGCTTACATTCATTTATTCTTTCAAAATTCAGTTATGGGGATCACATTAACCTCTGTTGCATGCAATGTATGTGTTTAGGTGTTAAACTGGTATTTGGTGGTAAATACTGCTGTTGAAAATTATTTTTACCTGTTTTTCACCACAACTAAGTACTTCCATTACAGTACTTCCATTACAACATACCAGTATTCTTGTTTTAGTGCCATTTACACAAAGCAAAAATACATATCCATATGAAAAACTGCAGTGAAATGCAATCTGCCTATAGTGGTATGATTAGAGCCAACTTTTAGCAAAATTGTGGGCACAACAGTCTCTGACTTCCTGTTGCTGCAGTTTGAGTTCCATGTCATCCACTTATTTTCTTGCATTTACAATTTTGTAAGAAGGCCAAGTAGAAGTGTAGCTTCAAGCTGAAGGTGAATTTGCTTAAATGTATTCTGCACTCAACCAAATCGTTCTTAGTCAACCATTCTACTCATCTTCTTGTTTGTTCTGAAAAATATAGAGATCAATAAAACTTTAATATGTTGTACTATTTGCAATTACCATACCATTTTCAGCATTAAAGATGCATTTATGGCTCAAGTAAAGAGCACTGTAATGCAAAAAGCTTAAAAAGTTTGCTGTTAAAAAAAAATACAATTGCACCTGAATTTGAACCCTCTACACAGCCTTTGTAATTTTAATACCATTGGTGTTGAAATAATACATATTGTACTCAAGAGCATCTATGTAGTAGATACTACTTATTCCCCTGACTGTACCTTAAAACACATACAGTTCAAAAACAGCTACATGTATTACTTGTATTCTTTGTACATGTATTGCATGTACCGGTACATGTGGCATTATTAGAACCATCAAACTGGATCTTGTTTATATTTCAGACATTGAGCATGTTGATTACATCCAGTTAACATATGTCAGTGATATTATCATGCAAAGCCAAAACACTGCCTACCTCTCTTTTTATTCAGGAGAAGAACAAAGTAATACATTTTCTTGTAATAAACTCTTTCCCATTGTGCTGCCATCAGTCCTACAACACCAATCTTGTTGTGTCATCTTGGTATTTAAACAGACACAGTTACAGCCAAAGCTATTATCAAACTGACAGACTGTTGTCAGCAAACACAAGACAAGTTGAAAGGAAACAAGAAGAAATTATACTAAGAAATAAAGAGTGATGAAGGGTGGTTGTGGTTGGAGGTGTGGTAATGTTTCACATTGGACAGAGATAAAGATGTTGAAGATGGGACATAAGATGCAGTTGGTTTAGTCTGGCTTCACTCCACACCTCAGGTCTTTGATGATTCTATGTCAAAGACACCAAACAGACACAAAGGCAGGTTTATCTTTAACCACAAAAGGAGTAAAGACATAAGGTCTAAGACAATATTTTTTATACATGTTTAATGTGCTCAGGCCCTCCCAAGTAGACAGAGAGGATTACTACCTATTTCCAATAATAAAGAGGAAAAAATATGATTTTCACAAACTAAATAAAGAATAATTTCAAATTCAGGATACAGAAATTTTAAATAAGCATCGTTTGGTTTCCATCAACCTCTGTAAACCCCTGCATTACTAACATTACTTAGGCGCACCCAGCCCTTCCTGATGCAGTCACATAAATCAGACCTACTGTATAATGTGTTCGGATGTACCCACGGTAAGTCTGCAAACTTTAGAAAAAGGTCTGTGAAAGCTGGAGAACGTGTGCATGTGGGTCTAAGGATGCACGTGAGAGTATGGGGGGAGTGAATGCTTTGTTATGATCAAGTTTAGTCTTGGTTCAAACAGCAGGGAAACCTAAGTGACAGAACTAAAAACAGACTTCATATGCTGCCTACACTCAGACACACACTCACATCATTTATCCATGAGGGAGGCAGAGCAGCCTAGAATTCCTTTAATCAAGTTGTTTACGATCCTAAGTTTGACATCGACTCACTAGGGAAGATTTTTTTTTTCTCCCCTTTTAAGACAAAATGTGAAATTATATGAAATTAGAGGCAGCAGCAGGGCTCAAGCACTTGCACCGAAGACACCCCAAGCCTCAATATATCATTTCCATATGCAAAGGCAGACACAGGGCGGACAAGATCATCTCTCCTCACTGGTTTTATTCTCTCGTAATGTTCCCGCCTGCCTTGAATGGCTCTGTGCAAAGAAGAATAAGAGCAGTTAGGTAAGGGGTCCTCTGGGTCTAGACTTGTCAGGAAGCACCTGATTTTCATGGCAAAGCCAGAGAGGGGAAAGTCCCCTGCCTGCTGGGTGGGGTGGGCCACACACACAGACACACATGCAATAAACATTACTACATATCTCATACGTACCCTCCAGAAGCATGACCCCATGAACTACTATCTGTTATCCACAGATACCTGTGCACTGAAGCTTTGTTTTATTTGAATTTGGCAGTGAAAAAGTGTTACAATTGAAGTTAGACTTATATATTAATTGTGACAAATAAATTGCTTCTATTAAAAACAGTAATTGCTTATGTGCATATTGGATATATACATATGCACGGGACTTTGTCAATATGAAACTTATTAGCTACAGAACTCATCTTAATCCTAATTCTTTGTTCAAAAGCAAGCACATTTTTTTTGCCAGATGCAGAAACTGAGTAACCATTTAAATATTTTTGGATGAGAATCACTGCAAGCATTTTGCTGACATGTACTTTTGCTAATTGTTTAGTGACAAAAATGAAAGTAGAGAAAAATGTTGCATAGTAAATCAAATTTACTTCTTGCCATCCCAACAGTGAGTACAAGTGCAGTGTTTTGCATAATAACCACCTGTTCCCATGGAAATGCAGTCCTGCTGTATGATTTTTGTCATTGTTGTTTTACAGGGTAGCACACTGAGAAAGAGAAAGATGTATGAAGAGTTCCTCAGCAAGGTCTCCATCCTCGGTAAGGGTGTGCAACGTCCCATAAGAATGCAAGAATTGTATGTTTTATATTTATTTTTGTAATTGTTTCTGCTGTTATGAATATGCTGAAAAATTAGTGTATGATTTGTAAAAGGTTAAAGTTCAGAGTGCAGGCAGTTAAATCGATGTATACTGTAGATTAGCCGACATAAACACAGGCGCACGTTGTCACACGAGACCCATAGTTGAGTAAAGTCTGCGTTTACAGTTTTAATCTACTTGCACTGTTCATACCTAAAGCCAGTCACACTCTGCAATCTCTCTGTGTGGACAGTTAAGGTATAGGGAGCTAAGCTAAGCCCTTATTTCCCACTGGAATTTGGGTAACAGCAGCCTTCACAGGCCACTGGATTTAGACGAATGGCGAATGAGATTCATTCAGACTTTCAAAATTGAGTTGCAATTGGAACTGACATCTCGTCCTTTTCCACTTGATTGTGTGTGTGTGTGGTGTATAGAGTGAGGCCATGCCCTCTGTACAGAGTTATTAGCTGGGTGAGTAAACACATACACTCAGTTCAGGTCTTAGGAGAATGTCTCTCTGAAGTTCACTCTCTTTTCATTCACCCCTTTTCTTTTGCGGTTCTCTTTTTGAAGGCCTTGTTGAGGCCTGTGTTCAAGCATCCGCCTCCCTCGTCGAAGCGCTTTACCACTCTTGATTCCTCGATCGGTCTCTTTTTCTCTTCTTTGCCTCTTTGAATTGTAGGAGGAGCAGGGGGCAGCAGTGTGTTTGTTTGTCTTTGATTTTCAGATAGCCACGAAATTGGGTGCAAGCCCCTTGATGTCATGGTGTGAAGTTTAAAAAAAACACGTTTGTCACCCATACACTTAAACAGGCCTCAACATCTCAGTGGTCAGTTCTCTCAATGTTCACTATGTATGTAAGAGACAAGGTGATCCAAGTGAGTGCAGGCTCCATGAAGTGTGAAATGTAGGTTCTTTAGTCAAGACACTTGTGTATCATGTTACTTGCCTTGCCGTTAGGGATCAGCTCAATGAGACCTGCTGCCTTTAGCTTGTAGCCAGACAGAAGACATCCATCTGGGCCCGACAGACACCGTGGCCCCACCGGAGAAGACACTGGACACCTCCAAACCACCAGATCTACCTTAGTTAATCCTAAGTACATACACGGTGATACGCACACATAAATAGACACAACAGGATCAGTTACTCAGCACATCAGGAGACAATAGTCACAAAGATCTTGATCCTGCTGTAGTTTTACGCCTCTAACTCCAATCTTAGTATAAAAAAAACATTGAATCACCTTTTCATCTAGACTAAGCTGAGGATGAGGAGTGTTTTCACTGCAGATAAGTCACATTCCACATGCAGATGTATAGACTGGTAAGATTAGACTTCAATGATCTGCTGAAGTGTGAAAGACGGATGAGCTCACTTAATAAAACATCTGTGTTGAGATGTGCAGTTATTAGTGGGTTCTGTTTCCTTAAATATCAGTTTTCAGTTGCTTTGAAGTATTTTGGTTGAAACATTTTTTCCCAGTGAGATATGTAACTGGTTTTCTGTGAAATAACCAACAGTTTCCCGAAATATCTTGAGCTGACTGCTTCACTGTCTTAACTGTAGTTGGATAGTTGGAAAAGTCCTGGAAATCACTAAAAACACTAAAAGGTACTATCACAAGTTTTGATAGAATTCCTTTCCAGCCTTTTATATGCAATTTGTAATTTAGTTGCCTTACCCAACCTCACTAGCTGGCCTATTGCAGTTTATTCTGAGTAAATGATACCCAACTGTTTTAGGGATAAGCCATATCTCTGTCACCACAACCAGCAGTCATTAGGACAGCTTTAGAGCTCAATGTTAAGGTGTTTAAACTCTGTGGGCTTCTATGAAATGAGAGAGTTGCTAAAGGATCTGAGATAGCATGATTCTCGATGAATGACTGGATTAGCCTGAGATGGTCTTTATCTCACCAGCTTGCTGCAGAACCGTAAAACAACCTTTGTGATTACAGAATGTAAACAAATGAAAGTTTGAGCATCTACTGTTGTACTGTTTATTGTAAATGACAGACTGTGCTTAGTGATACATATTTTTTGTTTGTTTACAGAGTCTTTGGATAAGTGGGAGCGTCTGACCGTGGCTGATGCTCTGGAGCCTGTTCAGTTTGAGGATGGAGAGAAGATTGTGGTGCAGGGAGAGCCTGGTGATGACTTCTTCATTATTACAGAGGTATCGTCTGTCATGTCACGTCAGTATGTGAGCTAATTTTCCCTAACTGTCACATTTCCTGCAAGCTGAAAGTGTTGACATATGAGACCTCAGACCTTGTATGTGTCATCAGGGAGCACCCAGGTTCATGTGCATGTCATCATGTAGAAACGTTGGTGGGCTCCACTGATATTGGAACTGATCCCAGTTCATTGCCACCAGCTGACAGACTACCTACTAGTGCTCTCCTTCCCACAACCATGATTTCTGTGCAAGGAGTAACCTCCACTCCTCTTACACTGCAGGCTTTGTGAAACTGGGGCCCCTGGCAAATCTTCATGAAGGGCCCCCTGCCTGTCATCCTAACACACTTTTGATTAACTCCATACTTAGAGCTTTTACCAGGGTCAAATCAAGAAGATTCGATCTGGAGGCAGTAGGGGCACAATCAGCCACATTTTTGTTCTTTTCTTTTTTCTTTCTTCTCCTTTCAGGTTTAGTTACAGGTTAAAGTTTCTATTTTACACATTGTCACTTTCTATATAAATTATCTTGTCTGTCCAAGTTCTTCTGTGCCCGCCAGTAGTTCCTGTGAGCAGCGCTTTGTCTACAGTGCCTTAGAGTTGCTAAAACAGAAAAGTTTTCTAAAATATGTTCAATGATGCATCAGTTTTTAGTAGGGATGCACCGATACACTTTTTACAATTCCGATCCGATCCCGATACTTAGAACTGTATATCGGCCGATACCGATCCAGTTATCATGCTCATCATAGATTTTACATGCATGCATGTCCAAAAAGGCAACTTGAGGTAAGTTTTATTAATGTTGGATAAGTTTTAAAGTTAGAATTAAATTCTGCTAACACAAAACATGTTTCTTTTTATTCCTAGCTTTAAAGTGGATATTAAAGTGATTCATTTAAGTGATTGTTTAAAGTTGTTTTATATTTTATAAGGGGCAGATATAAGAATTTTTTTCTTCTTTCTGCACTCTTTTCATTCAATGTTTTCTTTTTGATGTTTTTTTTTTAAATTTTGTTTCATTTAAATGAATGAATAAATGAATTAAATAAAATGTTAAATGGCTTCGAACACCTGCTAAGTTTATGGCATAAACCAACAGACATGTTCCTGTTTTTAGTATTTTACATCACTTTATAATGTAGCTGTTTATGTTTTTAATATATATAATTTTCAAATCATATGTTTTTTTATGATTGTCTACTGTTGTACTGATAAATATGGAGGGTAAACCCTCCTGGAGGGTAAACTATATCTTGGCTGCAAGTATCAAACTAAGAAATCCTTCGTTTTCTACAACTGATAGTGATTGGTCATTAATTATGATGAAGTTTAGCAACTTCTCTGTAAACATTTGAGCTCCGTGGTTTCAGCGATGTCTTCTTGTTCAATCCGAAGCAAGCAGCCTGATTTGGGGCAGCCGCGCTCAGTCTGTCCCTCCTCAGAGACGAGCAGACTGAGCGGGGCAGATTGGACGCGACTGGCTGGTGTCGAGTCGCCTCTTTCGGTTTGACCAAAGAGTACTGCCCCGCTGAAGCCACGGAGCTCGAATGTCCATCATAAAACTAACTTTAACGTGGTTTAATGTGGCGCTATGGCTCTGCAGACATTGCACGATGCTGTCTTGTAGTGTTTAGTGTAAAATACTTCCACACAGCGGACATGTTTAGATGAAAAGTTGGTTAGCTGTTAGCCACAGTGCTGCTAACTCAGTCCTCACGTTGTAGCTGGCTGCAAACTATGAACTGGATTTCCTGAATGTGAGGCGGGTCTTATTACTCTGGGTTCATGAGACACACCGTCGTTCAGGAAATCCATTCCATAGTTTGAAGCCAATATGCATCATGGATCGGAAATATCGGCAGGTGGATCAGAAAATCCGATACGTAAATTATGCTGGTATCGGAGGCCGATACCGATACTGGATCGGATCGGCCCCATCCCTAGTTTTTAGTCCTCTTTTTCTCTCCCCACCTGTGCACAACACTTGTGTACTTTCTGTACTTTTTCATCCATCTTTTTATTTTCATTTTTGTGCCTTTCTTCAGATATAATTTAAGGACCATGCATACTCCATCGTGTGCTCCAAGTATTGTGTGATTGGTCTAAGTTTTTGGTTGTGTTCGTCAATACGGAAATGCACTCAGATATTCAGCTGTATGACTCTAAACACACTAAGTTGGTCAAATGGCTATAAACTCCTGGATGGAGATTGTGCAGACATCGTGTATGGAGGAGTCTTTACTGAGTGCTTTGCTTTGTGTGGTGCTTTCTTCATGATAGTTATTGCCAAATGGCAGGTGCAGGGATGAAATGGAGACTAGGATGAAACCCACGTAGCGATGTATACTGCAGCAGGAGGGGTTACCGAAGAGCTCTGCACCTGTATCGTGGACTATAAAAGATGTGTGTGAAAATGAATGCCCTACAATTATGTGACCACAAGTTGACCGTTCGGCTTCGGATGGAGTATGCTGGACCCTTTATACATTCATTCTTCCAAGAAAATTGACACGTATTTTTCTTTGGATCTAATCCATTCTACAGTATTAAAGCTGCAACTATTGATGTAAAAGTTCTGACTTTCAGCTCAATTGCATTAAAACTCACAGCCAGTTTCATTCATGACTCCCAAGCAGTTCATTGTGGTATGTGTTTTCCTTGCCAGAAGTCAAACTGTAGACAAAACATCCAAAAACCTGAGGATGGCTGCAGAACAGCACAGAGGAGTATTTAGATAGGTTGTCAGTAATAAACTGTAAATTAAGTGTAACATTTACTCCTCAATAGTTGTGACCACATGTAGCATTCAAACAAAATTGCAAACTGAAGTGCATTTATTTACATCAACTTTCATAAGTAGCTTAAGCAAAACAGTCCTTTTTCTTAGGTTATTTGAAAAAAGGTTTGTTTTATTTGTGTATGTTTTAGTGAACATTTCGCATACTTGTAGATACATTTTGCCCATTAAAAAGGAGAATGCTTGATTTTTTTAATCTCAAAGAAATAGCCGTTTCTCTTCTCTGAAGGGCACAACTTTTAACTTTGTAGACAAATAGATGATCCTGATAAAATAATTTACTGAAATGCATAGATTTTACCAAAAAAATAATAATTAAAAAAATAAGTGTATTCTTCTTTTTATTTTTCAAAATGTATCTACAAGTATGCGAAATGTTCACTAAAACATACACAA